CTTTCCCTCTGCAATTCTAGGGGACCTCAGAGCCCCGTTTGGGGTGCCAGCATCCCTCAGGGCCGTGCAGACATCCTGGAGGGGCAGCTCCCTCCCACAGCACCACTCACACTCATGGGCACAGCCAGCCATGGCCACCTCTGGGTGACAGGACACGTGTGACAGTGGCCAGACACTGATGGAGTCTCCAGAACATCTCTGTGTGGGAGATACAAACCAGCTCCATCTCTCCCCACCCAGATTTGGGCCAGACTTTCCCCATGATGCCTCAGGTTTAGCTTTTATACTTTTCAGATTCTGTGCTGCTTTATTGTGTAGTTCTGAGCTTCATGTTAGAGGATGGTGAGCTCTCTGCACAAAGTAGGGAGACAAAACAATTCCTTCTCTAGATGGGGACAAATGATCCAAATCTCAGGCCCAAGAGCACAAACAGCATGGACTGGAGAGAGAAAAACAAGCAGGATGGGACTTCATAACCTAAAGCTAATTGGACAATTAACTCCAATATAGAAATGGACCAGAACTTATAAAAGTGAGAGATGTTGTGACCATTTTGTGCCTAATGTGTATCCACTGAGGCCTTCTAATAAACTCCTACTTTATGGTTTAACTCTGTGTAGCCTCTGCTCGAGGTCAGCCTTCACAGGGCATCACCCACAGGCTCAGAGCAGGATGGAAGGAGCATCCTGAAACCACAGCTCAGCCAGGGCCAACAGGGAATGCACAGGGTGGATCACATATAAAACAGAGGAAAAAATCACACCTGGAAAGAGTTTTTGCCAAAACCAAAGTGGGGGTTGCAGTCACTGGGGAGAATCTTCAGACTGCCCAGGCAGGGGTTGAGGTGGAGGCTGAATCCCTCATTCAGGGACTTGGGGTTCAGTGAGCAGATGGTGGGAAATGCAGGATCTGACGTGGCAGGGCTCCAACAGAACCAGATGGCAATGAAGTGCTGCCCTGAGTCACAGAATCATGGAAGGATAGAATCATAGACCATAGAATCATGGAATTGCAAAATCACGGAATTATAGAATTGTTTAGGTTGGAAAAGTCCCCTAAAAGCACCAATTGTTCCCCCAGTGCAGCCAAGCCCAACTCTAACCCAAAAATCTAGAACTAAAATCAAGAAAGTTTAAACAAAAGGATTGAACATCTCCTTTCTCCATCCAACACCAAAACCATTATTTTTGCTGTTTTGAAAACATTATTTTTCTTTAATTCCTATCAAAGTGGCCTTGAATTGCTCTGTTTTGTCACATCCTTTTGAGCCCTCCCAGGGATGGGAAGGAAGGGACAGTGGCTCTCATTCAGGAGTGATCTTTGCTGGCAGAACAATATGCATCAAGGTGCTGACACCTTGAGACCAAGCAGCACCAGCAACACCAAGGGAAGACCCACAAAGCCCTGAGGACCTCGGGAAGAGGAGGGAAAATGGGAGCCTTGGCTGGTTATAGAGGCTGTGTCCCTCTGTCAGGCCCTGGGAGCAGTTTGGGGCGGGAGCAGAGCTGAGTTTGAGTGTCCCGCTGGGGCTGTGCAGTAAATTCCAGGCCAGATCCCACTGCTCCATCACAGGGACATCCATGTCCCACACTGGGCCACCACCAGCCCTCTAAGGAAAGGAACAAATTGGCAGCATTCAGAGGAATATTCTGTAGGTACAATTTGTGGTGATTGGGATGGGCTGAGCCTCATCCCCAGTGTCACAGCTGTGAGCAGCAGGTGAGCAGCACTGACACAATGAGCCATGGAGTGCCCAGTGCACTGAGGAACCACCAAAGGGAACAGAGAGCTCACAGGTGCCATGCATCAACGTGAGGGGATAAAAGGTTGGGCTAAAGAACAAGAAGGGCAGACCCTTGCAGCCCTCTGAAGAGGTGTTGCTCTGTATGGGTTGGAGCTTTCTGAAATTGTGTGGTCATGCTCTGTGTATTGTGGCTGTCTCTACTGCCACAGCATCCTTCATTTCCAAGCATATCATTTCTGTCCTCTGGCAAAATAACACCCCCCTCAGCTTTTGCATTTTGTCAGGTTGAACCCAAGGCTTTTGGAAAAGGGAAGAAACTGGAGACTGTTGGCCTGGGACAACTGGTGAGATTTCAGCAGCAGAGGTTCTGTGGGGGCAGATTAAGGCTCCCCTGTCTGCCTCCAGAGCTGGAGGGAAGGGATGGGCCAGCAAGGACAGGTCAAGGAGCAATAGAAAGGACCAGGATGTTCTAGAACCCAGTGGGGATGACCAGCTCTAAGGGGGATGTTCTTTCCTCCTTCAACACAGTGCCACCTCCCACCATTGCCCCATCCCATCCAGACCTGCTTCCCCCAGCAGCTGCAGGAAAAATTTTGGAGGAGAGAAGCACAGGAAGGAAAAGAGGGAAAAATTACAGCAGGTCCTTGGGCACCAAGGGGATGGAAATGAAGGTGACTTCAAAATTTCCAAACCAGCCTGTGTCCCTCAGTCACGGCTGGTGCCAGGCAGGCTGAGGAGGGGGGACAGACAGATAGACACCAGCCTGGAGCTCTCTGCTTCCAGAAGTCCTTACACACCCACCGGATTACGGATGATGGAGGAGAGGAATGCCTTATACCAATTAATTCCCAAAGTGTAATTAACATCTGGGCTGCTCCATGTGATCCCCAAGTGCTAATGAAGCATGGCACCGCTTTAATTCCTGCTACGCTGCACCATCTTCTCATTAAATCCAGGAGCAGGTTCCATCACATTTCCCTTAGAGGGAAAAAGGGGAAGACAGAGAAACGGAGCAGGATTTGTCTCAATGAAATATGATAGATTAGAGTTTGCTGGATAAAGAAAGTAGGGATGGGGGGAGGGCATGCAATGGGAAATTTCTTAGGTGTGTGCACGCGGGCATCTGGAAATTCTCTCTCCCCATGACCTCCTTACACCCCATCCATCAGCCTGGGGTTGGCTTATTCCAAGCAGCAGAGCCTTGGCTCGTGTCTAACAGGCCCACCGGACACAATCTGCATGCCAATTACTGGAGCAGACCCCCTGATACTGGGGAATGGAAATTAGCTGTCAAGGAAAACCCGGCATCAGCACGGCTGGGCTCGCACTGCCGCGCTCCCCGCTCATCTCCACAGGCGCCCTGCTCCGCCGTGGCAAGGGGAAAATGGAAAAAGTCATCTGGATAACAATAAAATAAAAACTAATGGTAAAAAAACCAGCCAAGTAGCAGGTTATTGTTATTTGTGTTGGTTGCAAATGTTGAGGACACAACGTTTACCTGAGGGCAAGAGCCTGGAGGACAAGGAGGAGGGAAGACTTGGGATAATTGGGTTTTGAAAGTGGGAAGATCAGCAGTGAAAGGGAAGGACATGGGAGAACATTACCTTAAGGGCAAACCAGATCCAGGTCTGGCTCCTCCAATGCTCTGGGGTGGATACATACCAGCAGCCACAGAGCTGGAGCATCCCAAACCCATCCAGTGCAGGGCATGTGCGATGGGGACAGGGGACATTCCCCAAAATAAGGGTGGGAGGTGGCTAGAAATGCACTGGGTGGAGCTCACCTACCTACAGATTTGCCATCCATAACAGGGACAGCAACAGGTTCACTGTCCAAAAACAACAACAACAACAACAAAAACACACAAAAATAAAAAAAAAAATAAACCAAGCCAGGCTGTGCTCAATCTGCTGTCCTCAGAGAGCTTTGCCAGGAGCCAGGGGGAAAAGGGGAGCTGGAGCTGAGGGCTGGTTGGTCCTGCAGAAATATTTTGGGGAAAAATACAGTGAAACCCAACCGTGTTGCTGGGTCATCTGTATCCTGCTGATCTGTGATGGGGAGGAGGGATGGAAGTAGGTGAAGATGCATCACTGTTTGCAGGGAAAGGCTGGACTGGGGCAGGGCTCTAAGGGAGGGGGTGACAGCAGGGAGAGGAGGAAGAAGGGGAAGGCAATTCTTCAGTTCATCTTTGTGCTGAGGGAAGTCCAGGGGACTGGACTGGGCAGCTCCTTCCCATTCCCCACCGGCAGCAGCTTTCCCAGGAGCTGGCAGCCCTGTAGCTTGAGGAGCATCCCTTCTCCTGGCTCCCTGCTCCGTAATAACCTCATGCATCAACAGGAATAGATTGCAGAGCATGGCTGGGAGGGCTCTGCGCCCACCTCCAGCTCATTGTCCCAAAGCCCCTCGGCTCTGTGTGCAAACAGGCTGCATGGCCCCGCGGTTACCAGGGGGAGAGTGCCCAGCCATCAGTTATTCCTGCCCGGGAGGCTGTGCCTGGGACATGCCTCTCCTCTGGCAGCACCGGGCAAAATGGGGCATTTCTGGGGGCTGAGGGCCCCCTCTACTCCCTGCACATCTCAGGTGTCCTGCCCTTCAGCAGCCACCTCCCAGAGGCACTCACTGCCTCTATCCCACACCCAGGCTGCTCTCCCGCTTCCAGCTCCTGGCTCCGTGCAATGCCCAGCCCCAGTTTAAGCAGCTGAATCCCTTGTCTCACACCTCCAGGGGACATCATGAGACACTGACAACATGACAATGCTGGGCTGCCAGTGTCCCAGCATTCCCCATGGAGATTATGGCTGTCCCCCTCCAACTCCATCTGAGATCTCAATCTTTTCCCAGTCCTGTCACCCCATGCATCATGAGAAGCACAAACATCCAGCACCAGGACAGCAGCTGCCTGCTCAGGCTGTCCAGGAGGACACATGGCACTGAACAGAAACCTCATCCCTTCTCCCAAGCCACCAGGGAGCACCAACAGAACAGACAGGGATTCCACAGAGACATGACAGACCCAGCCACCCACAGCCACCACCGAAAACTGGCAGCCAGGGATGTGTGGTCCCACTGCTCCACCGGGATGGCCAAAGGCTGGAGCACAACCTCCAGCTTTGGGATGACTTTTTCCTAAAGGACCAGAGGGGCAGGGGATGGAGAAGGGGGGTACAATGAGGCAGAGAAGACTGTGCTCCACCCCATCTCCCACGAGGCAGGACATGTCACACCCAAACCCCGGGAATAAGCAGGACAAGGCGGAGCTGAGCGACTCAGTTGCTTTATTGGGGGGTTGTGCAGCCCGCTCGCGGGGCGGCCTCACTCGGAGATGCTGCGGAAGGACTGGACGGCGGGGCTGGCCGCACCCCACTCCACGGGCTTGCGGTACTCCCCCTTGGGCAGCACGTACTGCCGGCCCCGGTAGTTGGGATGCTCGTAGAACACCCAGACGCCCTCCAGCACCCTGCAGGCGTGCACCTCACGCATGTGCCACTCCTCCATGATGGAGGGGCAGTCTTCAGTGGCTTCGAACATCTGCCCGCCAAAGTCTCCCTTCTCAAACACCTGGATGTGGCCTCGGCCTCCGCTTGGCTGGGGAAAAAAAAAAGAAAAAAAAGAGGTGAGGTGTCGCTGTCGAGGCAGGATGGGAATGAGAAGACCCAGATCAGAAGGCTGCTGAGAGTAAAACTCCGATTTATTCTAAATACACTGCTCTTTTATACAGAGCTTCGTGAGGACCAACTCCATTGGTTCTGAAGTGAAAACAACCCACACCCTTGGTGCAAAGTGCTTGACGCACAGTGATAGAACTTAACTACAAACAATGTGAAAACCAAGAGAGATAAAGAATTATTTACATTCCTCTCCAGCTCTTTCCCAGGCATCTGCCTGACTAGGAATTCTCAGTTTCTTTTTTTGACTGAATCTGAGTCCCACAGTGAGGGAGAGAGAAAATCATAGTGTCATGGGAAGATTTGGGTTGGAAGGGATTTAAAGATGATCCAATTCTACCGCCCTGCTGATGGAGGGCACACCTCCCACAATCCCAGGTTGCTCCAAGCCCCATCCAACCTGGCCTTGGACACTTGCAGGGATGGGGCAGCCACAGCTTCTCTGGGTGACTTCACTGGCAGCCAGAGCATCAGATGGAGGCGCTGACACGTCCCAGCTCTGACAGAGGGGCAGAGTTTGGTTACAGCCCAACTCAAATCAGGTACCAACCACTCCAGCACACCAGCACAGGGTTGAAATCTCACGTCAGGCTCCAAAAGCACAGGGAGAAGCAGCTGAGGTAAATTTTAAGAGAGCGTCACATGCAGAACAGGGATAAGCTTGAGTCAGCAGTGCCGGTCTCACTATCCCAGGCTGCTTGAGCCCCTCAGTGCTTCACGTGAACATCAGGGAGCCAGACCCCCCTCCAATCCCCTCTCCTCCGGGCAGAGAGGAGTTTAATGAGCTGCTGACCCCGGCGGGGCTGTGTTGCTGCGGAGGCAGTGCTGGTTCCCACCGGGCTTGGAAGCGCTCCTTGCCCAAAGGCAGCATGGCAGCGTCTGATCTGCAGCTGCCTGGACACCTCTTCCCCTGCCTCCCCAGCCAGCCCCTTCCTTGCCAGCCCCAGCCGAGCTCTGTGGGGTCTCAGGGTCTCCCCAAGGCAGGAGGGAAAGCCAGGACCAGGTGGATATGCAGGATAAGGATCCCACAGTTCATCCTGGTGGAGGAAGCTGTGCTGCTCTTACATCCTTCACATGTTTTGGCTCCATGTCTTGAGCCAGATCATTGCTCTGAATGGGCTGGAAACTCTTCTTGCCCCATGGAAAGGGATTTAGACCCAGCTCAAAGCCAGAACAGGCTCAGAGGGGCGTTAGACTCTCATGCAGAAAAGCAAAACCCGTTCTCAGTTGTGAGACCTGCTCCGTGCAGTGGGAATTCATGGCCGTGCTCCAAGTCAGGATCACCAGTGGATCACCAGTGTCTGCCCCACTGCTGGAAAACCTCAGCAGCAGCAGCACCAATCCACACTTCATCCACAATCCCAGTTTTAAAGGACACTCCTCCCCATAGGCTTCCCAAAAGGATCATTCCCTCTGTTCCTTTCTCCCCATCATCAGTGAGGAGGGGATGAGCACACCTCCTTTGCTCTCCTGACACCAGGAGGCACCAGGCTGCTCCAAGCATGGCCAAGGAGGGCTCCAGGTAACCTTCCTGTTCCTGGGCACTCCAGGGCTGCTACTGGCCTTGGTCTCTCCATGCCCAGAGGGGTTTGGTGACACGGATTCAGTTCCCTGTATCAGAAGGGAGTCCTGGCTTGCTAGAGAGGAAACTTCCCCTCATTCTAAATGCTCCTGCAAAACCACTGTCACAGGCCTTGAGCCTGTTGGATCCATTGGTTTCACATCAGGGAAAAGGCAAGAAGCAAACTTGGGAGCAGCCTGCCTGGCCACTGAAATCCCTAAAGGAGCATGATAATGAAATTATACTGCTGTCCCTATGGAGCTCACCCACACTCAAAGGCATCTGCCTTTTCCCACTGCAATCCAGAGTGGGAGACATTCACCTTCTCCCCACACCAAACACCTTGCTACTCCCAGAGCAGGACCGTGGGAGCAAACCCTCTGCAGCCACCCTCTCTGTGGCTCCCCAGGGTGATGGGCACCACGTTCCCCCAGGTGAAACCTGCCACGATGGCAGTAGAGGACAGCAGCCCCTGGGAAGAGGTGACACCTACGATCTGGATGTACTTGCAGGAGCCCAGGCGGTCGTTGAGGCCCATCCAGTGGTGGTAGTCGGGGTACTCCCCGTGGCTCAGCACGTACATGTTCCCAGCATAGTTGGGTCTCTCGTAGGCCACCCAGGTGCCCCCATCCACACGGATGGAGTTGCAGCGGCTCAGGTAGCTGTGGAAATCGGGGCAGTCGCTGTCGCACTCGTAGTAACGGCCCAGGAAGTTCTTGTCTTCATAGAAGGTGACCTGAAACGAACAGAGGGGGGAGAGTGGGGAGGTTCCTCATCCAGCACAGGCCTCCATATTCCAGCTACATCACAGCAGGAAATACCTGAAAGCAGATCCCTCAAGATGTCAGAAATCATCAAGCCCAGCCATGGAACATGAATTAGTCAGTCAGACTAATTCACCTGTCTGCCCCCAATGCCTCCAGCTGCCACCAGTGTTCTGCCCTTCCCAGACCTTTGTTCTGTCCCAGTCCAACACAACACTCCCATGGAGAAGTCCCTGTCCTTTTTCCACCAAAACACTATCAAAGCAATTCCCTCCCACCTCCTCCAGATCAGGAGTTACTGAACTACGGCTGTGAGAAGTCAATGGAAAGTGCAAGGCAGGTTTCTGGGGACATGGGTGGGTTTGGCAGCACCGGGTTAGTAGTTGGACTTGATGCCGTCAGGGGGCTTTTCCAGCCTTAACAATTCCATTCTTTCCTTTATACTGACTTACCAAGTGTTTGCAGCAAGATCTTTACTGATAAGGGGGTGGAGAAGTCTCTTTCCCCCCAGGTCATGTCTTCCAGCCCATCCTCGTTCCCACTTGAACAACCCAAAACTTCCTTTCTCAAAACTCACTGCCTAAAGCTGGACATCACACAAGCTTTGCCCATGCCAGGAGAACCTAAGGGAGCATTCCATGTGCATGGTGCGGAGCAGTTTTATGGATATCCAATGATTTTATTTGCAGTTCACTTGTTCTGCTTTGGTTGCTGCAAGTCCACAAAACCTCTGACAAATTCACAATCCATCTCCACATTTCTGTCCCAAGAGCTGCTCTATAGCCAGGCTGCTGACCCCAAAGCACTTTATCCTTGATCACAACCTGGCTCGAGATGACCTTGGGAGCTGATGAGTAAATCCCATTCCTCCCACCTGAGGTATCACCCACCTGGCCAGCCCTGGAGAGGAGACCCAGTTTTCCTCACAAATCCTTTCATGAAAATATTGCCAGGCCTAAACCAGACCAGTCCTTTCTCCAGCCCCATTTTTAGATCCTCCCAGGTGACAATTATCCAATAAACATTGCTCTTCTCCAAGAGGATTCCCAAACCATCACATCTATCTTGACTGCATCCCTTTATTGCTCATGACACCAGATGGTCTAGAAAGAATCTTTATGGCCACACCCAACATGCAGTGGTCCACAATCCATTTTCCCCATTTTTTTTCCCATAGTTTGAGTATTAAGACACATGCCCACCTCCTGTACTTCACCTACAGTGCTTTGGCTACTAGTATAGATGTGACCTCCCTGCTCTTAAAAAATAATTCATTGCCAGTGTTTCAACCCAAATCCAGGGCAAATCTCTCACTTTTTATTTTTAATCATTTGTTTTGTGCTAAAAATTAATTAGGGTTTTCCTGGAGCTGGTTGGTCAGCGTGTCCCACCAGCCTGACCAAGAGATCTGGGGAGTCAGACTGATCTGCCAGAGGATTCATGCTCTTGATTTTGTGGCTTTTTACGGGACATTTATTAGGATAATGCAATTTTCCTCTTAATTTCAAGGACTGATTTGCTATCACAATGCATTTGGTGCACACAAAACAACCTGTCCCCTAACATCCTGAGCAAATTCTTCCCACCTTCAGTGGGGAGCTGGGAATCACTCTGACCTTTCCAGCAGTGAATAAAGGCTGTGAAAGGAGAGCACTGAAATGCCCAGTTCCTGTTTTCTCTTACTTGAGCAGTTAACCACACTGGCCAGGTCTTCCTGGCCACAACCCGCTGCCTTTTCCAGAGCCTGCTTCTGCATCATTGTCCCTAAAGGTATCACCCAAAAATCTGCCAGCCTGACCCAAAGGCAACACCGAAAGCTCTGCTCGCTGGGTTTGGCAGTCGCGCATCACCAGTCATCCTCTTCTTGAAGTCAGTGGTCAAGGAAGCCACAACATCCCTGGAAAACCCTCTGCAGGGATTCATTTATTCCCAGTTCAGCATTATCCTCTGCTGGGATGGCTGATCCCTCTCTCCAGCATCTGTCCCCAAGCTCTGATCCTGTCCCACTCCTGTCCAAATGATGAGCTCTGCCCACTGTGGATCTGCTTTCTGGGCAGAGGGAACCTGGAAGAGCTCAAGGCCAGGTTGGATGGGGCTTGCAGCAGCCTGAGATAGTGGAAAGTGTCCCTGCCCATGGAAGGGGGTGGAACTGGATGGGCTTTAAGGTCCTCTCCAATCCAAACTATTCTGGGATTCAGTGATGTTCCTTCCCCACCCAGCGTAACACAACCAAACTGGAGCTTGGCAAAGCTTCCTGATGTTTCCAGGGGAAGAATTTTCCCTGTGCTTGTAAAACCACAAAGCCAAAGAAATCCAAAGGCATGTTAAGGATATGGCTGTTCCTACAGAACTGTGTCTAACCAATGTGCTGCTCCCTGGTTTAATTTAAGGGATCCTTCTCTGTTCTCCAGCACAGTCCTTCTGACACACCCTCAGCTCATTTCAGACCTTTGCTTCCCAGCTTTCCTGCAAGAATTCAGGCACCAACAGAGTAGGTTGATGTTTTTTCCCTTAGCATAATTACAGGCCAATTACAGATTCCAATTCCAGGTTTGCAGCTTTGTTTCTGTCCCCTCTCACTCGCAGGGGAATCGCCTTCCTTCAGCCAAACCCTCCAGGAGCTCTGCTCCCAGCACTCCCCTGTTAACCTCTCCATGTCCAACCTTGTCTTGGGGGTTACCAGGCACATACCACACTTGCCAGAGCAGATCTTGCTTGCAGGAATGTAAAACACTTGCTTTGGTCACCTCACTGAGTTATCACATATTTCTTTTCAACAGTAGCTTAGCTAGAAGGAAATTCATAAAAAATATCCAGTAGTGCCTCCTCTGTCAGCAGTGATCCCTCTCCAGGGCAGATCACTCACTGGGGTTGTGAGAAATGGTGTTTAATTCCCCATTTTGCCCTTTTCTTATCCCTGGAATGTGCTAAACAAGAGCACAGCATACAGAAATAGGAGATAACTCCCTCTGGGCATCTTGCTGCCCACCAGCAGCACATAGTCCATTAATTCCCCATGGCATACTTCGAGGGGACATGGCATTTGGCAGGGGAAAGGCAGAATGTACTCAAGGATTTCCAAGCTGACAGGAGACTCAAGGATGGAGCAGTTGCAGTTCCCCAGCACCTTTTTTAGGCTCAGGTACAGAAAGTTTGCACCCCGGGATTTGTGAGCCACCAGCACACCAAGCCCTGAGAGCCACAGAGCTGAAGGACATGGGAAATCCAAGACCAGATCTCCCATGGCATTGCCCAGTGCCTCCAATCCCACTCTGCTCCCAAAGGCCCATGGATCTCACAGCCTCCACAGGCTAAAAGGAATTCAGCCCAAAAGCTAAACTCAGATGAAGCTCTTCCCACAGCTTCCTGTGTTTGACATTCCATAGGGGACACTGGACAAAATCCTTGGCCCTCTTTCCTTTCCCAGCTGTTTCTCCCTGCCCAGTACAAGTTCTGTGGTATCAGCCAGCTCAGCTCTGCTAAACCCGAGCCTGAGGAGCTGGATCCCCACCTGAGATGTTGCTGCAGCTGAAGCTGAGCTTCCCAACCTACCTCCTTCTCTGATTCCAGTTCATCCCTGCCATTTGCACCAGAATCCAAGGCTGGTGTGCATCCCTCAGGGAGCACTGTTCCCTTCAGTGCCATGGCCACTGTCCAGGAGCCCTTCTGGCACAGCACACTCTGCTCCACCATGGAAAAGGGATGGGGCAGCTCCGCTGGTGCTGGCAGTCAGGCTCTCCCCAAGGCTCCAAGGGACCCTTCCATGAGACTCTGCTCCACAAGCACAATGATTCCCAGCTGGCACAGCCCCTCCACCCCCAATTCACAAGGCATCAGATCCTGCTGGTTTAGAACCACTTCAAAATGCCTCCTCACCAGTCACTGCGCTTGACTCCATCCTCTGGCAGAGCCACACCTAGAGGAACCTGCCAAAATCTGGGAAAATACCTGGGAGGGCTCAGCTTCAGCTTTCCTCCACGTGAGGAGGGATTTCAAGCATCTCCCCCTGCCCACATGTTGACAGAGGTGGAAGCTGTCAGTAGAACAAAACAAAGTTTCTCCACAATTCATCCCTGAGAAATTCTGCACTTTTAGCCAAAATCATGAATACACAGCAAACAAACTTACCTTGGTTCCAGCTCTGGACATTTTCTGTCCCAGCCAAGCTCCCCTGTGCTGGAGGAACGTCAGCAGCTGTTACAAACAGCCAGGATCTGAGGTGCCCTTTTTATAACGGGCTTGTTTTAAACCAGACAGCCGCTTTGTCATGAGAATAGGATCCAAAAATTGAGTCAGTGATTCTGAGGCTATAGCCGATTTCCAGAAAAGCAAACAGGATTATGGAATAAAGGAAGGCTTCGCCATCCTCCCTTTGTTACCATTTGCTGAGTCAGAACACCAAAACTCTGCCAAATGCACTCAAAACATGCATCCCCCTGCCAAGGACAGGCGGTAATTTGGCTGCTCCCTCCCTTCCAAGCTTGTTAAACAAGGAGGAATCCTCGTTGGCTCTTAGAGACCCGCCCCATTTGTAAGGAGGGCACAGGGTATTCATCAGGCAAGGCTCCCGTGCAGTGAAGGATGCAGTTAAGGAACAATAAACAAGTGCTCAGAGCAGACATCAGAGGATTGCAAAGACAAGCTCTGCATTGAAGGCTCTCAATGGAGACATCTGTGCAGCAAAGAGGTCGCAGATTTTCCTGGGACACCCTCAGCTGGAGCCACACTGCTCCAAACACCTCCTGACACAGAGGAAAAGAAGGATTTGAGGCCATCTCCCCACTCCCCAACAAGTGAGTGATTTCACACATCAAACAATGTCCAGATTTCTGGTTGTCTCTGCAAACATCTCAAATTCAAGCCCAGCTCTCAGCCCAGCACCTGAGGTTGGAGCAGAGGAGTTCTCCCTTCGGCCACGCCGGCCCTCGGAGCGGGGAGGCCGAGGATCAGTGGCTTCCACAGCCACCCCCCCGCCAGTGCATGATGAAAAACCACCTCTGCAGCTATTCAGTGCCCCAGCCCAAAGGCTTAGCGAGACAAAGGGACACGAATTTGGCACAGCAGCGCCCGAAACACGCAGCCCCTCTTTCAAATCTGTCAGGACAAGCACTCTCGCAACAGCAGCTCTGTAAATGCAGGCAGATGGGAGAGCCTGGGGCACACACAATCAGCAGCTGCTCCTCTTCCCATTTTAGGAGCCTTGAATCACCCAGAGGTGTTGCTGTCACCGAGGCCACTTGGATTGATTTAGGTTTTAACTCCTGAAGATCACAGCTCAAGCACAAGCTGGGTTCTATCAGCAGGTTCACAGCTCAAAGCTGTGGTCACTTTGCACATCCCTCCTTTAGAAGTTGGTTAAAAACAATCAACTCATCTTACATAAATAGAATAAATATAATAAACTCACCTCACCTGCCTGCCCAGGAGCCAAGGGAGACCTTCAGAGGAATTCTGAGGCTGTGCAGTTGAGAACACTGTGCCTTCCCCTCACTCCCAGCTTGCATAGCTCTTCCCAAGGCACCACCAGCTGCTGCCTCCACTCATCCATGCAATGCCTTTGCCTATTTTCCAAGCTTATTTAAGTACCCAGCTATGAGCACATTCCCCAAAACACATCCCACCAGCACATGAGAATGGTGCTTATTCAAGCTGATAATCTTTATGAAAATTATGTGAGATAGGAATTGGGTTTGTATCAAAACTTTGTGCCAGGGCAGCCTTCAAAACCTTCAGCTGCATGGCTGAGGTTTACAGGAGTTTTACTTTCAGCCTGGCAGGACTTGTATTCATTTTTTGTCCCACTTTCCCCATAAATTAGCAGTTTCTCTCTCTCTGACAGGTTCAAATTTCATTAAGATAAAAGATGCTGTGTCCCCGCCTAAGACCAACTGTACAGGTAAAACCCCTTCCCCAGGACATGTGCCAGGTCAATCCAACAAATCTGGTTTATTGACATTTGTCAAAACGATGCAACCAGATACAAAAATTAATCTTCAAAAAGTGCCATCTTCATATTTAAAAAATACCTGTTTGATTCATCCATAAAAAACTTAAACATTTCTTTTTCACATTCATAAAAACAGCACTACTGGTTTGTACCATGAGGATGCAGGGGATGCCCAGGGCCTGCATCCAGCTTTGTCCCAGGACTGGTGTACTGGACATCTGCTCACCATGGACACTAACTGCTGTGGCAGCTCTGCAACAAGGCACAGCTTCATCTTCCCCCAGTGCCAGGCACCTCTCAGTCACCAACAGGATGGCTACAGCACATTCCTGGGAATGCAGCAATGCTCAGGAATCCTACAGCAGCCAGGCAGTCCCATCCACACCAGGGCTGGGTGTCAGCAGGTGAAATGGCACAAAGTCTTCATGAGAACTGGGCTGAGTGGATCACTGGCTGTTCCCAGAGCTCTGGAGCAAAATAAAGAGATAATTTTACTTCTAACACCAGAAAAAAAAATATTCAAAGGCTAAATCAAAAATAAACCAATTATCTAATGTTTTGAAACATGCCATGGCAGAAGAGCACAGTAAGGACAGCTCCTAAACCACTCTGCTTGAGAAGAGTGAGAATTATCCAAAGTCTTATTGTAAGAATGACCCAAAGTCTCACTCAACTCTCTTTAGCAAAGATGGGCAGCCATCAATACACAGTGTTTCTTTGAAAAAGCAGCTACTCCAATCAGTTTTGTATCACAACATGTGCAATATGCCCATCTGCCTTACAGATGTTTCCAACAAATCAAACTTGGCACCAAGGCCGTGCTGAGGACACAGATTTCAGCTGAGAATGGGTTTTGACAGGAAAGTAAGAACTAAACCCAAATGCCAGGCTCTTGTGAGAACATTCACTCAGACTCCTGCTTCTCTTCTGCCTTGGCTGTGCACACAAACATGGGACAATTCTTGGAGGAGGAAAAGAAGCAAGAGAAGGAGGCCTTTTACTCACCTGCCTTTCCTTCTGCTGCCCAGGAACGTTGTCCTGCCCAAAATGTTATCCTGCTGCCTGCTTGGAGCCCAGGGCAGGAGGGACCAGGCTGTCCAGCTGCTGTCGGTTCCCTGTCTGAACCAGCCACTCATAGAATTTGTTTTCTACCACAGCCTGGAACTGTTTCCTCTGATCCCTGAAACAGACACAACAGCAGGGAAATGTGGAAAAATAACATTTATTCACAGTATTATACTTCTACCACATTTTCGCCATCCAAACAAGCCTCCAGATGTATCAGGAAGAGCCAGGCTTGGCTCCTGAACCTTGCAGAGACAACCAGAAAAGGTTTTTACCGAGTGAATGTGATGGTAATGACCAGGTTCCCCAAAGGCAGAACCTGGTGGAGTTGGAGAAGTCATACAAAATTCCCCATCCCACCACCACACCCACCCTGCTCCAGGGCTCCTCCACCTTCCCCTCAGGGCACAGCTGAAAAATTGTCTGAAAAGGGAGAAGACTAAGATTAGCAACCGGTGCTTAAGCACTAAGGACACAACATTCTGTTCTGACAGCACCAGAGAGGATGGAGATCAGGGGAAAAATGCTCCTATAAACACACCTCACTTCATTCATGTTGCTCATTATGAACTTTTGAGGTGGTTTTGGCAAGCCTAACAGGGTGGACCACTCAGCCCAGGCTAACTGGCACTGATCAGATGCCCAAAAGCATCTCCAGAGCAGCATCCCAGCCCTCTGGGATCAGCTCACATCTGAAACTTCTTAAGCCAAACGTGACACAGATGTTGAGTAGCTCCTGATGGGCTTTCTCAAGGAGTTTACACAATTAATTTCTCAACACCAATGAAACATGAACATTTTTCAATATTCTGGAGATTTTATGTGGGTTTACTCTGAACCCATTCCTAATTTGATATGTACCCCATTCTGTGCTGGGAAAAGCAGGAAACCAGCTCCAGAGGAGACCACAAAGGTGATCAGAGGGATGGAGCACCCCTCCTTTAAGGAAAGGCTGGGAAATTTGGAATTGTTCAGCCTGGAGAAGAGAAACTTCAGGGTGAAATCACTGTGGCCTTCCAGTGCCTGAAGGAGCTACAAGAAACATGGAGACTCTTTGCAAGAGCCTGAAGTGACAGCACAAAGGGGAATGGCTTCCCACTGCCAGAGAGCAGGGTCAGATGGGATACTGGGAAGGAATTCTTCCCTGTGAGGGTGCTGAGGCCCTGGCACAGGGTGCCCACTGAAGCTGTGGCTGCCCCTGGACCCCTGGAAGTGTCCAAGGCCAAGCTGGACAGGGCTTGGAGCAACGTGGGACAGTGGAAGGTGTCCCTGCCCACATTAGGGGGTGGAATCTGGTTGGGTTTTTAAGGTCTCTTCCAATTCAGGCCATTCTATTCAGTTTTGTCCCACTCGCCCTCAGACAGGCTCCATGTATCCACACCCTTTTTTCAAGTAAAGGCTGCTGTCTGTTTGGAACACAAACTAACCCAAATTCCTCCCCAGTGAATACAAAGACAGCCACTTCTTTCTTCCCTTGTGGATTTATCTTCTCCAAGAGCTTTTCCTCTACCTTGATCTGCTACTGACCCTGAAAGACTTTCTGTCTGATACGCTCAGAAAAATGAATAAACAGGATTTTATGCTTTTGCAAGTTGTTCCTCAAGCTGTCTTCTTGGTCCTGTCTTACGGGGGTTTTACTTTCAGCCTGGCAGGATTTACATTCTTTTTTTGCCCCACTTTCCTCAATCAGACAACTTCAACTTCTTGAAAGATGTCTTCTTATTTCTAACACTCTCTTTCACCTCCCTGCTTGAGCACAGCAGCTTTTTTCTTTCTACAAGCCTGATATCCTGTTTGCTCTAAGCTTCCTACTTGTCTCCCTTCTTGTTTCCCTGCCTGCAGCAGACAACAGACATTTTCCACTGTCAGCTGCCCAGTTTCTTTTCAACAAGCTTCTAAACTTGCCAGAGTTTCCCCCCTTTTATGGAATAAGCAGCGAGCTTCCTGCCTCCTGTGACTGCAGCAGATGATGGCAAATCTAAGCACATCATCCCTATTTCCTCACATTTCTTTCACAGGAAGGTTCTGACAGGCCCAACTCCTTCCCAAAACTGTGGAGGGAAGCAGCAGCCAGGAGAACAAGACACTTGAAATGGGGTTTTATCCTCATTCTGTGCTTGCCAAGGAAGCTGGGCAGAGGACTCCACGTGATTTGCTCTAGAGGAATTTAAAAGCTACTGCCCAAAGGTGATCTGCTGCAATGCACATTCACAGCTCACCTCAACAAGGGCTGGGACAGCTTCAATCCCAAGGTGAAGGCTGGGCTAAGAGGGACCCCAGGCAGCTCAGGGTGCACACCCAGACCTGGCCCAATCCACTGCCAGGGTGGATCCCTCTCCTCAGCAGCATCTGGGAGTGCTTCTCCTGGAGTCTCATAAGCTGGGAAAATACAGCCATGAGAAAGCACCTCCTTAAGAACAGCATGGGCGAGGGAAGGGACTGTCCCCCTTCACTCCACTTGGTGAGGCCCCACCTGCAGAGCTGCCTTCAGTTCTGGGATACCCAGCACAAGACGGATGTGCCACTGCTGGAATCCAGAGGAGGCCACGGAGGTGCTCCAGGGGCTGGAAAAGCTTTGCTCTGAAGCCAGGCTGGGAGAGCAGGAGGTGTTCACCTGGAGAAGAGAAGGCTCCAGGGAGAGCTCAGAACCACTGCCCGTGCCTAAAGGGGCTCCAGGAGAGCTGGAGAGGGACTTTGGATAATGGATGGAGGGACAGGACACAGGGAATGGCTCACTCTGTCAGAGGGCAGATTTAGATCAGAAATTGGGAAGAAATTCTTCCCTGTGAGAGAAGCTGTGGCTGCCCCATCCCTGAACTGTTCAAGGCGAGGTTGGACAGGGCTTGGAACAACCTGGGATAGTGGAAGGTGGTCCACAGCAGGGGGTGGAACAGGATGAGCTTTAAGGTCCCTTCCAACCCAAAGCATTTTGGGATTCCACAACTCTGAGCTATGCCTGTGAGCATGAGTCTTCCCACCTTACCAAGCAGAATCCCAGGATTGTTTATTATTAATGCTCTAGGACTGGCCTGCAAGACGTGGCTCACACAATCCAAGCCATCCTTCAAGGATTTCTGTGGAACCCCAACAAACAACTCTCTGTCCACTGGGCCAAGCTCTGCCCTTTCTGGGGGCACTCACCTGGTCAGCCCTGCCTCCCTCACCATGCGCTGCCACGCCTGGACCTTCTGCTCCCGCTGGCTCAGCACCTCCTGGTACTCCTGGGGAAGCCCCCCTGGGGTCTCTGTGGTGTCTCCTTCCATCTCAAAGGGAATCACAAAGGTGTAGAAGTCTGAGGGGGGCAGGAGCCGGAAGACGTTCGTGTCACCGCTGTCCCTGCACACCAGCATGGGGCTGTTCCAGTAGTTTGGCAGAGTGGCCAAGCCCACCTGAGCCATGTGGTCCTCCAGCATGGGGTAATGGGTGTGGAAAGGGGCAAAGCTGACTGCCTGGTTCCCCGAGAGGATGAGGGGCTGCGTGGGTGTGAGAATGTGGAAAGTGCAGCCCGTGGTGGACGAAAGGGACAAGCGATGGCAAACCACGATGACCTTGACGTTGTCACAGCTCTGGACGTGGACTGACGTCCCCACGGGGCCCAGGACAAAGGTGCTATTCCGGCACTTCTCGACGGTCACCGATCTGCCAGGGAAATGCAGGACCCTTAGGGCTGGAAGGAACCTCCATCCAGCCCAAGGCAGGCCCACCTGCAGCACGTGACACAGGAACACATCCAGGAGTGTTTGGAATGTCTCCAGAGAGGGAGACTCCACATCCTTCCTGGGCAGCTGCTCTGCCACCCTCAGTGGAAGGAAGTTCTTCCTCATGTTGAGGTGAAACTTGTGGTTTAGTTTATGGCCATTTCTCCTGATCCTGTCACTGGCACCTCTGAGCAAAGCCTGGCACCACCTTCTGGCACCCCCTGGAGATCTCTGTATGGACAGATGGGATCCCCTCTTGGTCTGGTCTTCTCCAAACTAACCAGATCCAGCCCCCTCAGCCTCTCCTTGTCAGGGAGATGCTCCAGTCCCTTCATCATCTCTGTCCCATCCACTGGACGCTCTCAGGAGCTCCTTGCCCCTCCTGAGGAGCCCAGACCTGAACACAGCACCCCAGCTGTGCCTCACAGGGCTGAGCAGAGGGGCAGGATCACTCCCTGACCAACTGGCAAAGCTCCTCCCAATGTCCCCCAGCATCCCATTGGCCTCCTGGCCCCCAGGACACACTGATGGTCAGCCAGGAGCCCAGCTGTGTCCCAGGAGAACCCAACTCACCGCAGAGGGGACAGGAGGTAAATGAAGGACTCGTTGCAGCGATGGATTCTGACGTGAGCCCCCACCAGAGTGTCCGAGCTCTTGGCCAGGGTCTGCCTGTACACCTGGCTCATGATCACCATGGGGGACACCTCTGGCACCACACGGGCACTGCAGGCAATCTTGGCTCTCCTGGTTGTTCCTTCCACTGCAAAACAAAGCCCACAAATGTTCTGGGTCCAGCAATCCCTCAGGAAAATAATCAGCCTCAAAGTTCAAGGATGGTACTTCCCACACCAGTCACACCATCCCTGATGCCTCCTGGGCAGGTGAGCAGCACGAGGCACCAGAAATTTCAGAAACTGTGAGACACTGAAGGATCAAAACCACTTCAAGATTACTTAGGAGCAGTCAAAGCCTCCCACAAGCTCCAGCCAACCCAAGCAAAGAACCTCCAGTTCCACAAGCCTGCTGCTGAGCATAAGACTCAGCTTAGCAGGAAGATCCTGAGGGTGAGTTTTAAGCAGGAATTATTTGTTTTAAAAAGGGAAATGCTCCCTCTAGGACAATCCTTAAGCCCTTCCCCATCCTCCCTAGCCCACTGCCCTTCCTGGCACCCTGCAGTCAGGGAAACAAAACATTGAATTAAACTCCTTATCCTAAGGGGGAAAGTGCCTTGGCTCCACTGCCACGTCCCTGAAGGAGAGGGGCTGGATTGGACACAAGGAAACCTAGACCAGATCCCACCCCACTGCCAGATCCCCAGTCAGCAACAAGAGCTGAGATCCCATTTCTGGGTTTTTTTTCTTAAAACTTTATTTATACTGTTTATCTAGATTTATTTTCTTGTATTTCTAAATTTATTTATGTAATTCTAATTTATTCTACTTTTATTTTAATTTATCTATGCTTTTGTATTTCTGTACATTTCTGCATTTCTGAATACTTCTGCTTCTACTTTTCCATACTCCTACTTGCCACATTTCTGTATGTTTCTATGTATTTCTATCTATTTCTATTTTGCTCACATATTCCCATTCCCCCCCACATTTCCATTTCCCCCCACATCCCAATGTCTCCCCATATGTTGTTTTGATTTTTAAAAGTGGTAAGTTTGCTTTTATAGTTCTTTTGAAAGTTTTAAAGTTCTCAAAAAAAATCTTAATCCTTCTGATGATGTTTAAATATTTGAGAGTCGCAGTTCCCACACAATTTAATGTAGAAATAGAATAGTTTCTCTGTGGGTGGAGAGAAATGATTGATTGGTCTTTGAACCAGCATGTTTGGAGAGGTGGTAATTCCATCTTCCAATCCACGGTCACTTTTGGAATTTTATAAATACCAGATGTTGGAATAAAACTGGGTCTTTTCTCTTTTGAACTTACTAATCTTCTGTGTACTCATTTCGTGTCCAGTAACAACACCCATGTGTTTCTGCCTTTCTAAGAACAACTTCCCAGCCATTTTGCCCACCTTGCTGTGCCCAGGCGAGCTTCCTCCCAGCCTTGAGGCAGACAGTCATTCCCAAGGGATTGGCAGTGAGGGAGGAGCGCAGCCAGCTCTCCAGCTTGGGCAGGGAGAAGGTTCTGGAGCCCTTGGAGAAGCCGTTGTGGCCGTGGCAGGGCTGCCTGAGGGCCAGCTCGTGCAGGGGCTGCACGGTGCCCGAGCTGCTGACGGTGCCCTCGAGCAGGAAGCTGAGGGCACACACGGCTTCAAAGGACACCAGGCTGCTGCAGCTGGAATGGGAAGAGGCTGAGAGCTGCTCTGGCTCCAGCAGCAGCTCCAAGATATCCAAGAGGTGGCTCTGCACAAAGGCAAGGTGCTCCTGGTCGTTCCAGTTCTGGAGGGGCAGGAAAACACACGAGGGGGTCAGTTGTCTGAAAGCCAGTCAGGCACAGTGCTCATTCCTGCTGCTCTGCTCTCCCAAAGCTGGAAAGTCACCTCCCCCCAAAAACTCGAAATAAAATATTTCATTCCAACTCAAAAAACAAGTATTTCCTTTCAGAAAGCAGCACCAGGCTCTTCTACAGTCCTACACAAACCCAGGAACTGCTGCTGGCGTTCAAAGGGAGCAAACAAATCAATAAGTGACACTCAAGGTCTTGGAGCTGCTCCACTGGAAAATCCCTGTGGCCAGGAGTCAGTGCCAGGATGAAAAGCTGAGGGTGATTTCTCCAATAAACCAAACCCTTTGAAAGAATCCTTATTTCAAATTCTAAAAGGCTCCAGCCCCAAAAAAGCAGGTCCCTGCAATTCTGGCAGAGCTAAAGCTGAGTTTTGCTGAAGGAACACACGGCTGTGGTTACACCTTGTCCTCACCATTTTTGTCCTATGATTCAGGATAAAGTTATCCAGCTCCAATTTGTAATCACTCCAGCTTACCCTAAGCTACCTTTCACCAGCTCATCCTGCTCACAGCAGCACATCTGTGCCAGAATTCCAGAGGCTGGCATGGCCTCACATAGACTTGCAAATTGTAATCCATTCTCCCACAGCCCACGGGACACATCCAGCTCACTCCTTCCTAAATACCTGGCACTATTTTCAAAGGAAACAGCGTTTCCACGTGGCTCTCTACAGCTGAATAACCAAGTCCCCTCTCAGGAACAGAATGTGATGCCAGGGAACCTCCTGGGATCCAAAACTCCCATCTGAATCACGGGAAAGGCACTGTGAGCATGAGGAGAGCTTCCTGCTTGACTAATACAGCAAAAAGGCTCCTGCTTCTCAAAAGGAAATTTGTCAAGACTCTCAGGGAATATTCACTCAGCTTTGGGCTCCAGGACAGTCTCATGAAAACTTTAAAGAATCTTTTTATAAACTGTAGACATCACAACATCATTTACTGCGGAGCAGGAGTTGTGCAGCTGGACCTTTGCCCACAGGTAAAACCCTCCCAGGAACAAACCAGCCCCTTACCAACCCCCCTCAGGGCAGTTCCCCAGAGCGAAGAGGCTCCTGCACACGGAGAATGCCAGAGGCACGAGTACCTTATTCCCGCCGGCCGATTTCCCTGTCAGGCTGGGAGACTTGGTCCTGGGGCTGGGCCACTCGTCCCCGAGCAGAGAGCGCCGCAGGGAAACCTTGTGCAGCTGCTGCACGTAGAGGAAGAGCAGGAACTGCAGCGTGTCCACGGAGAGCTGCAGAGCACGGGAGAGACAGAGGAGAGTCAGGCTGGGCCGGGCTCCCCTCTAGGCGGGCTCGGGGCTCCCCCTCCTCGGGCCGGGCCCGAGCTCTTGCCTTGCTCCGCTCCCGCTCCAGCTCCTCGGCGCTGGCGCAGGCCGCCTCAGCCTCGGCCCAGCGCAGGCGGAGCGGCGGGGCGGGCCCGAGGAGGCCGCGGAAGAGCTCGAAGTAGAGCCAGGCGATGTCGCGGCTCAGCTGCAGCTTCCCGCAGGCGATGTGCCGCCAGCAGGGCCAGCGCAGCCGCGGGAAGCAGCCCTGGTCGGCCCGCGCGCGGGCGTAGGCGGCCACCTTGCGCAGGTAGTGCGGGGTGAGGCGGGCGGGCGGCGGGGCCGGGAGCGCTCCCACCAGGAACGGCTCGGTGCGCACCCACAGCCGCACCGCCGCCGCCATCGCCCCGCCGCCGCTTCCGGCTTCCGCCGCGGACACCTTCCCGCCTGCGCGGAGCCGCTGCCCATTGGCTGAGGCCGCCCGGGCGGGGGCGGGGAAAAGCAGTGGGCTCGCTGATTGGCTGCTCGGAAGGAAGTCACCCTGGAGGGATGGCGGGGCGTGGCCGGCGCGCTCGGCGGCGACGCTCCGGCAGGCGATTGGCCGGCGGCGGTGAAGTGTGAGCAGCCCATTGGCTGGCGGCGCGCGGCGGCGCGCTCGGATTGGGTAGCGTGGAACACCCCGCGCTGCCATTGGCCGGCGCTGGCCGCCGGGGCCGGGGCGCTGCGGAGCCGCCCGGACGCGCCGCTGCCGCCGCTCCCCCTCAGCCGGCAGGGCCGGGCCCGCCATGGCCCCCGCCTGGATCGGCCGCCTCTGCCTCCTCCTGCTCTGCCTCTGCGGGGAGGCCGCCGCGGGGTGAGTGCGCCGGGCCGCGCCCACGGGCCCGGGGGTTCCGCCGCAGCTCCGGGCCTTCCCCCTGCCCAGGGCCGGCGGCCGCGGCGCTGAGGGGACCCCGCTCCCTTCCCCTCATCGCTCCCCTCTGTCCTGTTTCCCCCAGTCGCTCCCCTCTCTCCCGTTTCCGCTCACCTCTCTCCTGTTCCCCTCATCGCTCTCCTGTTCCCCTCATCGCCCTCCTCTCTCCTGTTTCCCCTCACCTCTTTCCCCTCGTCCCCCTCCCATCCCCTCTCTCTCCCTCCCCGCCTCTCCCATCCCCGTTCTCTCCCCGTTCCCCTTCCCTCACCTTCTCTCTCCCCTCACGGCAGGAGAGACTTCTACAAGATCCTGGGGGTGTCCCGCGGCGCCTCCATCAAGGACATCAAGAAGGCCTATCGCAAACTGGCGCTGCAGCTCCATCCCGACAGGAACCCCGACGACCCCCGGGCGCAGGAGAAGTTCCAGGACCTGGGCGCTGCCTACGAGGTGAGCCCGGGAATGTCCTCCCCGGCCTGGGAAGGGTGGGTGGAGCTCACCGTAAAGCAGGCTGGAGCTTGGCCATTGAGACTCGTGAGGATTCGTGCTGGAGCATTCAGGGCACGGGAAAGGAGGTTTGCAGGGAAGTAAAGGCTCTTCCCTAAGGTGCAGCTGGAATCTGTCCTTCCCCTGTTACCATGTGAAATTCCATTTTCCCCCTTTTCATATATTGAGTTCTATCCTACATCTTTTATTATCACAGAATCCCAAGATGGTTTAGGTTGGAAGGGACTTAAAGATGATCTCATTCCATCCCTTTACTGTGGGCAGGGACCCTTTCCACATCAAATTCCCTTCCTTCCTTCTCATCACTTTCCATACTCCCCATATTACTACACCAACTTCCATCCTGCCCCTGTTAATACATCCTATTCCAGATACTCTCCCAAATAAAATAAAAAAAAAATATCCAGAGCATGTCAGGTTGCTTGGAGAGCTGCTCCTGCCAGAGGACAATCCAACAGGAGGAAGCCAAGGCACCAGCTTAAAGTTCTTTGGAATTTATTCCCAGTTCCTCAAGGGAGGAGTGGAGGTGCAGCAGCCCCAAGTGTGTGTAGGGCCAGGCTGGGATTAGTCTGAGCTGATGGGAAGTGAAAGGTGCTGGCCGTGGGTTTAGAGGATATTAAGTGATAAAATTGTGGCTCACAGCAGGATTCCTGTTACTCACTCCATGATGATGTTGTGGCATGCAGATGATCCCCCACACTAACAGCACAGTGCATTAAATAAATCAAACATAGATTTTATTGTATTGCCCCAAGTTGTGAAGCCAAAGCCTGCCTTCCTTGGCTCTCCATGCATGCAGGCTGTTCCTTCCATGTTTTCTGTCCTTTTTGTCCTCCTTCTGCCACTGTTGGACTCCATCTGCTGTGCAGCAGAGAGACCCAGAGGAAGATGGTGCTGAAAAATTCCATTAGCAAAAATCCCTAGCAGTGACTTGCTCTCTGGGAGGGAGCTTGGGGTCCTTTGGGAAAAATCCAGCTGCTGGGTTTGTAGCCTGGCTCCTGCTTCCATCCCTGGTGCTCCTCAGATATGCAAATATTTCTCAAATGAGGAAGTGAGAGAACCAGCTGGCATTTATTTCTCTGTGTGAGAAAGAAAACTGTTTGCTTTAGCTTTTTCTGGGACCCATTTTCTAGTTCAGACTTAAATAAACTGGCTTTATTATCACAGGGAAAATGAATATAAAGACTTTTTTTGTGGAAACAAGTAATCCCCTATCATTTGCAGCACCTCAGGATTGATGCACATGGAGCTGTGAGCTTGGTGCTGTTTCTGTGAGCTGGGATCTTGTTGGCTCTTTCTGCTGGCAGAGGATTTCTCTGCCTCTTCCTCAAGTTCCAGTTGGTTCCTCCTTTCCCATGCCCAGTTGGTTGTTAGCCAGCAGCTGAGATTGTTCTTTCTGTTTAAAAGCTGAGTGAAAATATGTTTGTAAAACTGAATCAGAAATCCAGTGTTCATGTGTGTGAGGTTTGGAGGAAGCTTTTGATGCCCCCCCTGCAAGGTCTTTAGCTGTGTTTAGCCAGGACAGCTTGGAAATCCTCTGCTGAGTTAGCTGTGGGATACAGTGAGTTGATTTGGTTGTTTTGGGCAAAATGGAACCAGAATTGGGTGACACTTATCAAGCAGAATTTTCCTCACCATAAACCTCTGTTAACAGCACTGCTGATCAGGGTCTGGGTAGCTGATGATGGCAAAGCTTTCCCAAAAAATTGAGGGGAAAGTAGGTTAATGAAGACATTAACCTGCTCAGTGTCTTCATTTTCACGGGCTCAGTGATTCCAGCCCGGAGCTGCGTGGTCTGAATTCAGCTGTTTCAACTAGGGAAGAGACTGATCCCAGGAGAGGGAGCTGAGACTCTTCTACAAAGAGTCACGAGTCTCAGGATGATTTGGGAGGAGTTTCCATGGGAATCTCAAGTGGCAAAGGGAGAACTGAGCCCTTACCTGCTAGGTGAAAGTAGTGAAGTCACTGCTGATTTTTTTTCTCTGTTTTCCCATTTATCAGTGGTTATAATTCCACAGAATCTCAGGATGGTTTGAGTTGGGAGGGACCTTAAAGCCCTTCCAGTGCCACTCCCTGCCATGGGCAGGGACACCTCCCATTATCCCAGGGTGTTCCAAGCCTCATCCTACGTGGCCTTGGACACTTCCAGGGATGGGGTAGCCACGGCTTCTCCAAATTCAGCTGGTTTTCATCTTTTAGCTGCTTCTCCACCTGTTGAGTTGCTTCTCCACCTGTTCCCATTCCTGTACAGCCTTCTGAAAGCCAACCTGCCAACTCTGGCTTTTCCAAATATGATTAATGGGGGAAGAAGGGTGAGGAAGACTAAATGTGACCAGAGACTTCTGGATCTCTGAGGCAGGAAAGAGCAAAGATCAAAACTTAGGAAATAAAACTGATGCTTAAAAGTCATGGCTGAGACACAGGGATAGTGGTTTGTGATTATTTGTCTCAGCATGTCCTGCTTTGTAGGATTTGAGTTATTCCTTGTGATACTTTTTTAATATTTAAGATAAACTCAATGTTTATGTTTTCCAGGCTGCTCCTGTTTTTTTAATGAATGAAACATGCTTGTTAAGGACTTAACTTCTCCAGACAACACAGCAAGCAGGGTTCCTGTAGAGTCCCCAGTGAGAAGTGCTGAGGGCCCTCAGAGCCTTTTCCAACACCTCCCCCCAGCTCCAGATGAGCCTTTCCTCCATTCCTGCCTTTTCCAGGTGCTGTCAGACGAGGAGAAGAGGAAGCAGTATGATGCCTATGGAGAGGAGGGCCTGAAGGATGGGCACCAGAGCTCCCACGGAGACATCTTCTCCCAGTAAGGAGGTTTGACCCCTTTGGGGCTGTCCAGCAGCTCTGCTCTGATTCTGTGATGCTCAAGCACCCTTTTGATGGGCTTTTTACCTGGCCCAGGGTCGCTGATGTGCAAGTTGAGAATTTGAAGACAGACATTTCCAGTGGGTATCCCACATGCAATTTCCAGTTTTGGTGTGCCCCACTCCTTGCTGCAAGCAGGAACCAGTAGAGACTTCCCACGTGGGCACCTCTGGGCACTGTGGGCGATTTTTCAGGTGCAGCACCTTCTTCAAACATGTGGAAACTTTCTCAGGTTATCTGTGTGTGATTGGGTTTTAACCTGTTGTCACACATCACTTTGGGGACACTTTTACTTCTGCAAAGCAATGCTGTGGTTCCTTGCGCAGCACCTGTAGAATTTGGAGCATTAAAAACCAAACTTGCACATCACTTGGACAGAACCTGATTTTCTGCCCCTTTGGATAAATTTCCTAAAATAATTCCAGAAGTTGCTCAACTCCTGTAATTCTGGGTGAGGACTTGCACTACTGCTCTGCTCTGTTCTGAGGGACAATATGCAGGATTCCTAGGGAGTTTCCCTCATCCCTTTTGTCCTCAAACTCCTGAAAACCAACCTGCTAGCAGCGACTTGCAGTGCTGCTTGGAGTTTACAGCTTTTGGTGGTGACAGCTGAGCAGCAGTGCAGTGTGGAGAGGTCAGATTTTGAGTGTTCTGCTCCAAATTTTGTTTTCTTTAGTGCAGAAAACTCTTCCAAAGTGGCTGCTGTGTTTGAAGACCTTAGTTGTGTTCTGCAGGATCAAAAAGAGGTTCCTGGGTTTAGGACTGCAAGGAAGCTGCTTTTTAGTGGAGTAGAAGCATTTGCCCAGAATTCCTTCCTGACATAACCAGTGTGCTTAACTCCAGTTTCTTTGGGGACTTTGGATTCATGTTTGGAGGAAACCCTCGCCAGCAAGACAGGAATATTCCCCGAGGAAGTGACATCATCGTGGACCTGGAGGTCACACTGGAAGAGGTGTATTCAGGAAACTTTGTAGAAGTAAGTTTACTTGTCTCAGTGTTTCTAGGTGTTCCCAGGTTTGAGGTGCCTGACCAGAGCTCAGAATATCTTATCCCAAAAATTAGAGCTGAAATAGATGCTCCTTTTCTGTATCTGGCAATGGAGGATGTTGTGGTGCTATTTCCTGTAGTTTACTGAAGAAACCACACATTTATTCACCTTTTGCATCATTGTCTCCATAAAGTGTGATAATCCTGATTTGTTGGCTGTCAGTCACCAGCTCAGCTTGACTAGTGCAGCAACCCAGTTGGAAGAGGTGTAAATTGTCCCTCTGTAGAATGTAGGAATATTTGAGGAGCTGTTGATAAGGTTCAAATTCACTTTGCAATTCTTGCAAAACCAATCTCCTCCTTAGGCCAAACATGTCACTGCAAGTTTCCAGATTATATAACTGAGAAGAATATGTAGAAAATTATTATCTTCTCTTATGCAAGCTCCATCTCTGGTGCTGACAATCCCTCCTGTGTGCATGTTGGCTTTCCATTGGTTGATTTTGTCTTGTGGCTGTTGGGGGAACTCCAGATAATTTCCCCATTGCGTGAGACAAGGAAGTGCCATAACCAAAGTTTGGGGTGTTCCATCCTAGTGTTACCTTTCCTGTGTGGAAAAGTGTGGAAAGAGAATGGCAATAGTGATGTCAGAGAGAGCTTTTTTTGTGTTTAACATGTGATCACAAGATGAAAACTTGTCATTGTTTTGCCAAGGCCACATTTGGAGCTATTGTGGCACCACCACACAGCAACATGCCCCTGCCTGTGGCATGGGGCTGGAATTAGGTGATCTTTAAGGTCCATTCCAACCCAAACCACTCTTTCTTCAGAGAAATCCAGACACTCGTGGAGACCCAAGAACGCTGACACCAACCTCTCCCTCTTCCCTGCAGGTTGTCAGGAACAAGCCAGTGGCAAGACAGGCACCTGGCAAACGGAAATGCAACTGCAGGCAGGAGATGAGAACAACCCAGCTGGGGCCTGGGCGCTTCCAGATGACTCAGGAAGTTGTTTGTGATGAATGTCCCAACGTCAAGTGAGTTTGGTGCTCTTTCCTGCTCCACAGAATCATAAATTCCGTGATTTTATGTGGTGTCATCGATCGGGGGATGTGTATTCCAAACCTCACCGCTAGGTGGGGGAACGCGCCTGTGTTCCCAGGAAAAACTGGGGGCTTTGGGAAGGCTTAACACCGAGTCCTCATTTCAGTCCCTTGATTCTTACATCTGTTGGATGTAGTGCTCCCCAATTTCCTCTTCCAGCCCTTTAGTCCTTGCACAGTCACACTGCAGTGGAAGTCCCACGGCAAAATCTGAACGGGAAGCACACAGCTGGATGTGGAATGCCATGCTGTAGTCACACACCCTGATGCTGACTGTGTATTTGGGAGCTTTCAACTTCACCTTCTCTACTCCCCGAATCTCAGCTCACCAGAAAGGCAGCTCTGACTCTCTAGGATTATGTGTGAGCAAGGAGACAATGTGTGAGCTTGTGGGGGTGTTCTCCTTACCCCAGGGACACAAATTAAAAGTTGAGATGAAGTTGAAATAAATAAATAAAGTTGAAAACTGAGTGCTGGGTTGCTCTTGCTGTTTTCAGGCTGGTGAATGAGGAGCGGACGCTGGAAGTGGAGATAGAGCCAGGGGTGAGGGATGGCATGGAGTATCCCTTCATTGGGGAAGGTGAGTGTGTGCTCAGCTCTGAGCTGCTCCTCCTCCATGGTTCTCTGGCACTGGCAGTGCCCAAGCCCCCCATGTGGTTGGAAGTGCTGTGTTCTCTGCATGTGCTGAAATCCAGGAGCATGTTCCTAAGTCTGGAAATCCCTTAGCTGGGAGTGGGGTCATGCACAAAACCAGCTCTAAGTCTGGTGTTTCCCATAACACCTGTGCAGGAGCATGAGCCTGTGAAGGGATCCCCTCTGCCCTTTAGTACTAAAGGACATCATTAACATGCAGACAGGTTTCCCAGAAAAGCAGAGGTGTGACCTTGTTTAGTCAACACCCATAAAGCCCTAAGCTCTTTAGGAGATGTTTAAGCAGAATTTTGGTCATCTAAAGATCAAATAGTTTTTTTTCCTTTGACTTGTGAGCTGCAAGTCTGTAATATCCTGCTTGTCTCTCCACTCATTCTAACATTTCCTTTAAACGAGACTTTTCTTTCTCCCCCACAGGTGAGCCCCACGTCGATGGGGAGCCAGGAGATTTGCGCTTCCGAATAAAAGTTCTTAAGTAAGTCTGGCCTAGTTAGGCTCTTGCTTGGCCACATGGAGCTTACCCCTCAGCAGGGCAGGTGCAGGCCTGGCACTCAGGGCTGTGCAGGATGCTCAGCCTCGTGGTGCTGGAGGAGCTGGACTTGAAGCTGTTAAAAGTGGAATTATTAAACTATCGGGGGTTTTTTTGCTTGAATTCACCATGTGTGATTCAGAATAAATATCTCCTTTTTTCTAGCACACAATCTTGCTATTGTAAGGAAATGTACTACTAAGAAAATTGCTGTGTGAGTCAGGACTTCTTGCCACACCTTACCGCTCAGTGCCCTAGAAATAGAAAAGACACTTATCAGTGCATATCTTACACAGGAAAATGAAGCTAAATTTGATTCATTCCTCACTTCCTTTCCTATTTATGATTTCACCAATCTCCCAAATAGAAGGAAAGAAGCTCAAGGACCTATTTCCCCTCTGGAGAAGGAGTAAAGTTCAATGGCTCTTATTTCCACAGGCACCCAGTGTTTGAAAGGAGGGGAGATGACTTGTACACAAATGTGACAATCTCGCTGGTCGAGGCACTGACAGGCTTTGAGATGGATATTTCCCACTTGGATGGGCACAAGGTGAGGCCCAGGGTGTTGCATGCATCCCAAATTCACCTGCAGCTCCATGCTGAGTGGCTTGCTCAGGGTGTGCTTATCTACAGTATTCCCTCTGTTGGAGCATTCCAGGCCAGTGGACTCTGTGAGGGGTGCACAGTGTGTGCCTCACTTCCAGGCTGTCCCAGCAGAGGGTGGTGTTAGTTCTGGCATGTGTCCAGTAAAACAGCCTGGACCCATGGGATATCACTGGTTTTGGCAAGGGATCAGTGCCAGTTGGAGCTTTCCAGTGGGTTGGAAAGGGTGTTGGGAGTATTGGGGTGAACACACAGAACATGGACTGCCCAAGGAGGTGGTGGAGTCCCTGTCCCTGGAGGTATCCAAAGAACATCTGGATGTGGCCCTCAGTGTTCTGTTCTGATTGACAAGGTCAATCATGTGTTGGACTCGATGATCTTGGAAGTCTTTCCCAACCTCAGTGATCCAGGGATCCTGTAACACCAATAATGTTCTAAAATTCCTTTTCTCTCCAGGTCCACATTGTACGGGATAAAACCACAAAACCTGGCGCCAAGCTGTGGAAGAAGGGAGAAGGTCTTCCAAACTTTGATAACAACAACATTAAAGGCTCCCTAATAATCACCTTTGACGTGGAGTTCCCCAAGGAGCAGCTGACGCCGGAGCAGCGGGAAGGTGCGTGTCCAGAGGCCCCAGCCTGACCCTGGCACAGCTCAGCGGGGGCTGCAGCAGTCAGGAGGGGCTGTGCTGCCCCTGTGCCCTTGTCCAACATAACCCAGTTGGCTAATGGCCTGTGATAAACTCCCACTTCCCTTGGAAGCAAGGAAGCTTGGCTGTGGCTGAGGTTGGGATGTGCTGCTGCTGGAATGCAGCTCTTGGCAAGTTTGCAAGGTGCTTTGTTGTGGTGCTGCCCATCTGTCTGACCCCACAGCCTTGCTGGGCTCAGCCTCTGTCTGCTTTGCCTCAGCTGGAATGGGATCACAAAGGGTTTTCCAGCCCCTGCTGCTACTTTCTTGGAGGGAAGACTTGTAGGAATCCCTCTGCTGCCGAGGTTAATGAATATCACACTGCATCAGGAGAAGGGTTGTTCCTTCCCACAGCTCCTTCTCCAGGACAGATCTGTTGCTCATCTTCAGTGCTCAAATGAAACCTGATGAACCATGTAGGGATCCTAAAATTGCCAGGAGGGTAAATCCTTAAATCCTATACTCCTAGCAGGGAATTCTTTGCTCCAGCAGCCTCTGTGGTTCTGCTGTGCCACATCAGAATAGGAATCAAGGGCCTCATCCTCTGCCACAGGACAAATATATTCCTGGCATGTACTAGTGCAGGTCTTCAGGAAATCCCCATCCCCAGAACTTCTTCCAGGGCTTCTTTTGAAGTGGCTTCACTTCTTCTAGTGGATTTCCTGGACTCCTCAAGTTTGTAGTGGGAAACCAAGCTCTGGGTGTGTTTTATTCCACTGCCTTGGCCACACTGTGCCAGCTGCCCTGTGCAGTCCAGTTGGTGGCTGCAGCTCCAGATGTCCCAAGGCTCTTCCTGCAGCTGTTTGGGCTGAGGGGTCTGTACCTCTGGGCTGGGCCTAGAGTGATCCTGCTTCATGGTTTTATCCCTGTGCTTTTCCTCTTGTTCCGAGAATGTTGTGTGGGGCACAATGGCCTTGTCACTGTGGAGTCTCAATCCAGGCTCTGCTACCCCTTCCAGAAGCTTCATCAGGCAACAGCAGCTCTGAAACAGATGTGAGGTTATTCCAGCTGTTGCTCTTGGCAGTTTAGAGGACACTGGGCAAGGAGCAGTGACAGAAATCTTCCACGTTTCTGACAGAATTGCTCACACAGCTCTACGGATATCCGGGAACAGAGGGATGATGGCACTGGCATGGGTGTGTTCAGGCACAGGGCTTTGGGTGTTTCTCTCCCTCCTAAAGCAATTCCACATTTCCCAGGGGAAGGTGACTGGGTAGGCAGTCAGATGTCTTTCCGTGTGCTGGGTATCTCCAAACATCCATGATATCAGGAGTTTTATGAGGGAATAGGTCTATCACTTTGTGTGGCAGCAGTTCAGTGTACACATTCAATGGAAAACTGTAGGCTTCAGAATTCAAAACATCCCTTTTTTCCCTTATTGTTGGCAGTATTTCAGTTCTTATCTCCTGACCACATATCCAGCTCCTGGGGCTGTCAGAAGATACTCTATCTCCAAGAGCACCACCCCCAGCTTTGGAGTCACAGAAATAATATCCCTTCTTTCCTGCAGTAGGACTTGATCACTGTTGATCAGAGCTTCCTCTCCCTCTGTGCTGTAACCTGTCACTTCTTGTTGGTATTAGCAATATTGCAAAGGAAAAATTGACTTCACGCTCCAGGAAAAAGTGCCTGAAGTGCAGTAGCACCAATTGTTAGGATTCCTGGTTGGAATTCCTGATAAAACCTTGGGTACATGTTGAAAAATATCCTGTGCACTACTGAGGGTGTTCTTCAGGCCAGCCAGAGGTGTGGGAGCTGCTTGGAAATGAGATGTGGGATGATGCTAATCCCAATTTTTTCAGGGTTCCTGGAGCACACCTTTCTCCAGCTACAGCCTTCCTTTCTAAGAACCAGACATCCAGGAGCCACATCCTCTCACCCACCAGCTGGAAAGGGACTTGGAGGCTCCTCTGAATGCAGGAGAGGAAGTGAATTAGCCTTGGAGAATGACCTGTTCCTAATAATGAGCAGCTCCTGGACAGGGCTTCACTTTGTCCTGGTGTTCCTGAAAAAAGTTCAGGAATCTTTGGCCATCAGCCAAGGAACATGCCTGGCAGAGAGACATCCTGCTTCCAGTTACTACTTCCAGGACAGTTTTCCAGTATTTTAACACAGCTACTGTGATCCTTATGCATGCTATTACTGGTTTTCAAAAACAGTAGAATGTGTAGCCAAAAAGGTTTAAGGATACATAAGCAGGACAAGGGTTGCAGGGAGACAAACTGTTTTTCAGCAGGATTTCCTGAAGGATTTGCATGCCTGAAAGGTTGGAATTTTCTTCTGTACAAGTAAATTGGTTGGTTTCATTACTGATAGTCAATCTAAACCTCCCCTGGAGCAATTTGAGGCCATTTCCTCTAATTCTGTTTCCCTGAGCAGAGTCTGACCCCCACCTGGCTGTCCCCTCCTGTCAGGAGTTGTGCAGAGCCACAAGGTTCCCCCTGAGCCTCCTTTGCTCCAGGCTGAGCCCCTTTCCCAGGTCCCTCCTGGTGCTCCAGCCCCTTCCCAACTCTGTTCCCTGCCCTGGACTTGCTCCAGCCCTCAATGTCCTCCTGTTAGTTATTTGAAGGTCACCCACAGTGTTGGGAGTTTCCCTCTGTTTTGGGCTCAGTGATTTTTGTGGTTGCTCTGAGCTGTGTCCTGAGGGGCTCCAGGGCAGTGAGTGACCAAGCTGAGTTAATCAGAGGGGACTCCCTCTCTAATCTCTGGAAAAACAGTGACACATCCACCCTTGCCACTGTGCTTCCTCTGCTCCATGTGGGCTTGCCCTTTAAGCAGCAGTGGAGACCTGCCAGCCCTTCCCTGTCGTGCTGTGCAGACCCCAGGAGATGAGCTGTTATGGATTTAAGGGCTGACTCACTCTTTTAGCCTGTTTGGTAAGAATTTGATACAGATCTTTGGACTGCCAGTTCCTTGGAATGTTTAGTGTGCAGGATTTCAGGAATGGGGAAGAAGTGCTGGAAAAGTCATCCTGACATCTTTGCTGTGCTCTGCATGTGACACTCTCCCTTCCCTTGCAGGTCTCAAGCAGCTCTTGAAGCAAGGATCAGTGCAGAAGGTCTACAATGGATTGCAGGGATATTGATGTGTGGAAAAATTTGACTTCCCTCGAAATGCAAAATCAGATTTGTTTTCTCCTGCCCACTGTAGAAGGGGGAAGAGGGAGGGGGGCAATGGTTGAAGTTTAGCTCATCTTTGGTTTGTAAATTATGGAAGTGCTCAGAGTCTGGGGAAATACCTTTTCAGGACATAACTGGTGCTGCCTGTCATGTTCCACGTCCTGGAACAACAGAGATTCCTTGAGCAGGAAAACATAGGTGGGGAAAGGAGTTTTAAATTCCACGCAGATTGGAATTTCTGATTTTTAAATATATTTTGATGTGACTTTTCTTGGCCATCTCAACATATTTTCATAGCTGCTCCTGCTTTTTACGTCCTTCGTGTAAATTTATTCCAAATTCTGTTGTTTTGGGGTGATATTTTTAATCCCAGCCCTTCCTCCCCCTTCCCCTCTGAGTCCAGAGTGTGGTATTGGTTCAGAGTCTGGTTTTGGGGCAGGAATACTGGTGCTGTTGGACGTGCACTGGGCTGTGTTAGGCCCCCACGATTGATTGGGGAAAGTCTCTCTCAAGGCCTCTGTGGGCTCTCCTAACTACCAAGTCCCAAAAGTCAACGGTCGGTTTGAAATTTGAAGTTGCACCAGTTTAGCAAAGACTCCTTGGTCATGGTGGAATTTGGGAATAGCTCATCATGGCCTTGGCTGTCCCTCATTGCCCCCACGTGGAACCAGTCTGGAAAAAGCTCCCTCCCCTCCTGCGCTCTGTCCTCCGTGAGGACGGGTGAGGCCGATGGGAATAAAGTGTTTGTTGAAGTCGGAATGGCAAAACCTCCCTGGTGATGTGTTTCTGGGACAGACCTGGGCTTCCCTGTGCCAGGCAGCAACAGAAGTCATGGAATCAGTAAGGCTGGAAAAGCCCTCTGAGGTTCCCCCAGCACTGCCAAGGACACCACTGCCCCATGTCCCCGAGTGCCACATCCACACATCTGTTAAACCCCTCCAGGGATGAGGACTCCACCACTGCCCTGGGCAGCTGTGCCAGGGCTTGACCACCCTTTTAGGGAAGGAATTTTCTGTCATATCCAACCTAAACCTCCCCTGGAACAACTTGAGGCTGTGTCCTCTTGTCCTGTCCCTTGTTCCCTGGAAGAGCCCGACGCCTCCTGGCTCCACACTCCTTCCAGTTCCTTCAGGGATCATAGGAGCTGTAAAGTGGGATCCTTCCAGCTTCTCCCTACCCCATTTCCTATTTGGGAAATGGATGGGGGAAGTGTTTGCTGGGGAGCAGCAGATGCAGCCTCAAGGTGATTTTGTTTTCAGTTTAATAGTTTTCCCTCCTTGGGAGCAGGAAGCAGCTCGAGGTGGGCACAGCTCCTGTGTCCATGCTGCCCTTGGTCCAGCAAGTCCCACCCACCCCTGCAGCTCCAGTGGGAGTGACGCAGGGGAAGCAGCAGCCCCGGGAAGATTTCCTGCTGGATCCTGTCTACATTTGCTTGGCAGAGCACAGCAGGGGCTTGGTGAGCAGCTGAGACAAACCCGCAATGCCAGACTCCTGCTTCTCCTCAGAATCCATAAGGATAAAGTGGTAACCCCAGCTAAGGCTGCTTCCTCTGCCCATGATGCCCAGTCTTTTCCAGGTGCTGCCTCTGCTCCCCCTTAGCTCAAGTTTCTAGGAAACCTCAGATTTCAAAGAAATTCCTTCCCATATCCCTGTGCATGGGGCTGTTTCCTGTTACTCCAGCTCCTTGCAACCCTGCTCACCTGTAGCAATAAGTCCAAAAAGCCAGGATTTCACCCCTAAGCTCCAGGATCTCCCCCAGGAGAAGGTGTAACCTCTCCTACCTGCACCCCCAGCAGCAGTCAGCAGGAGTTCTTGTTCTCACTGCTGTGTTTCCTTTCCCTGCTAATTCCTTTCCTTCCTGTGGTTTGTTTTTGTTGCATTGTGAGACCAGACTCTGGAGAGCACAATGGCTGCAGAGCCCTGGCTTGCACACCAGCAGGGAGGAAGACGGGGAAAAAAAGCCCCAAGTTCCAACCAGAAACTTGCTTCCTTCCACCCTTTCTCCCCTGCTGTGGGGTGTGTTCAGCTTCCAACTCCTTTCCCACCTCCAGACAAAGCTTCCAGGGCTTCCATGCTTCTGCCCAGCAGCAACAGCAGTGCTTGCTCAAATGTTCCCAGTGGTTTTGGTTCTGGCCCACTCACAGTGTTCTTGTTTTAGGATCATGGAATATTTGTCTTCCAAGGACTGGGGGTGCAGAGGGTGCTGGGTGTCCATGGCATCCTCTGTCCCCTTCTCCTGTGACATGGAGCTGGTGGGAGTGAGTCATGGCACACATTAACTCCTTTATCCATTGAAATGCTTCCCACGAGGTTTAGGTGTTCACATCTTGGTCTGGCACCAAACAAGGATCCTGACTGAACTTCCAGGCTGGGAATTCTGTAATGCACAGCTTGAATTTCCAGTCCTTTCTAAGCAATGCCGTTCCCAAACTGGAAGAAATAAACTTCCTGGGCCTCTTTTAACCCAAATCCTTGGAATGGTGAGGATTGTGAGGGTTCAGATGAAGGCATGTTGTTCAGTTCTTCTAGGAAAACATTTGTCCTTGGAATGCACTCCCAGAAGTCCATGCTGCTTTGGGAAGGCCTGGCTGAAATGGGCTCCTGGTTTATTCCTGCAGGGAATGGTTTTCAGCACCTCCTGGGGCTGTGTGTGTTCTTTCAGGGCCTCACCACAGGCTGGCGTTTAGATGTCATCACCTCCATCAGCTGTGTTCCCACCCTTTGGCTGGATCCCTCCCATCCCAGGGGAGGGGAAGGAGCAGATGGATGAGGATTCCACAGCAGGTTGATGGGGGGAGGGAATACAGGGCTCAGATCCACCATGCCCTGCAGCCTTGTCCGTGTCTTCTGTCCCTCCACAGCCTGGGCTGGCTGCACCTGGAGCCACATTCCCCATGCCAGGCTGGATGGTGACATTTTGGGGCTGCTCCAAGGAGTTTCAGCCTTTAGTGTGGAGGTCTTGGGAGGAGGGTTTTGCTCCCAATGCCTTCAGTCACACCAAAGGCTGCTCTCAACTTTGGGAAGTGGGTGAACGTGTTCCCAAACAGCCATTTTTTCCGGGGAAACGTCTCTGAAGGTGCAGTGCAAGCAAGCTTGAGTTTTTCCAAAGAAAAATCTTGTTTTTTCATGTCTATCTCTCTCTGAACCTTTCTGCTCCAGGGCTGGGCACTGGAGGAAGAAAGGGGAAGGGACTGGTGCCAGGACAAGTCTGCTGGGTTTGGAGTAGGAACCTCCAGCTGGGAAGGGAAGGTGAAGCAATGATTTTTCACTGGAATCCTGACTGTGATTCCCAGCCTGGTCCCCATCCCTGCTCGCTGCATTGCAGGAGCTGGTGGAGCAGCCTGGCTTGCTCCGGAGGGTCCCCAGGGACAGGGCAGCCCTGCGGGGCAGGGCAGAGGTGTGGGATGGGTGGTACCCGCTGCCTTCATCCCGCCTTCCACGTATCCCTGCTCCTGGCCAGCAGCCAGCTCTCTCCTCCCGTTTCCTCGGGCTGACCTGGGAGGTGAGCGGGAAGGGAAGAGGGCAGCGCTGGGCACCGACCGCCCTGCGAGGAGGGAGCGGCCAGCTCGGCCCTTCCCTGTGCTGAGAGGCTTTTCCAAGGAGCTGCTCCTTTCCGTGTGGGAGCAGGAGGCTGCCGGGAAGCAGATCCCCCCACTCCCAGTGCAGCCCCTGGGGTTAACAAGGGTGTCCCAAAGTTAGCAATTAAAACATCTGTGGCTGTTGACACTGTGACATCTGAGAATTTGGAAGGATAGGGTTTGTTTAGTCCTGAAAAGCCACAATGACACCAGTGCAGGCTCCGAGTGCGTAAGAGGTGTTTACAGGGATAATCCCACTTCCTTCCACATGGATCCCATCAGCCCCACCTGTTTTTCCCTCTCCCACCCCAGAGCCCATCACTGGTTTTGGGCAGCTCCTGGAGCCTTCCAGCCCTTTGTCCTGAGGCACAGCAGCTCCCAAAGGACACGGATGGAGATACCGGCCTTGCAGGGGGAGCTGATGTCCAAAAGGAAACGGGCTGACCTGCCCATCCCATCCAAGCTCCCCATGGGATGGAGTGAAGGAAAGAGCTGGTTCCTGGCACATGGGCATTGCCTCACTGGAACAAGGATCAAGGCTTGGGCGTTTTATCTGAGCCCTTATCCAGGACAGCGGCAGCGGAGCAGGCCGATGGAAACCATGCATGGAAAACAAAGCCTTGCCCGGCAATCCCCGCAGATAACAGGGACGGGTCACTCTGGGAGCTGGCTAAAGCTGCCAGAGGCTTCTGTGCGGGTTCATTCACCCTCCTGCAGAACCCAAAAGTCCTCCAAGGAGAAAATTAAAACCACCCCTCGCTGATGGAATACGCACTGGCGCCTGTCCCGAGCTGTGATCGGGACGGAAGAGCAACCAAATTTGGGAGAGGATGAGCCATGCATGTGGCTGCCAGCTGCCAGGAAGCTGTGTTGGAGTGCTGGTGGAACAGGAGCCCAGCTCCCAGTTCTGAGGAAGCTGGGCTACTGTCCCTGGCTGCCACACCCAGCCAGGCCTCAGTGGCCCCACCATGAGGCACTTGAGGGTTTTGGGGTGAGGAAGACAAATGTTAGGACAACATATTGTGATACCTGGGGAAAGGAAGAGAAATTTTGGGGGTACGATGTGTTGGAGGTGGATGCTGCCACCATAACCCCTCTGCTGCTGGCCACCGTGTCCAGGTCGGACCCTGATGCTGGTCACCACCAGGGAGGTGCCTTGGGATGGAGGTGCCAGGTTTGGGTGCATTGCCCATGGACACCAATGGAGATGAGGCTGTTCCTCGGGGTTCTGCACTTTTGGGGGATCCCCACTGCCCTTGTGGAAACTCCAGGAGCAGCAGCAGAGTCAGCTCCGTTCTGGAGCGTTCTCCAGACACACACTGGGAGCTCTGGGGCAGGAAAAAGGCTTTTCCAGAGCTGCGTGGAGTGGATAAGCTCAGACTTGCTCATCTGTCCAAAAGATGACACATTTCTGGAGCAAAAAGCAAAGCAAGCTCTGCTGTTCCAGGCCTCCCCCCCAGTGTTTGCCACTGTCTATCCTGGGTGCCATCCCTGCTCCATGGGCATCCCACAGCATCCATGCTCAGCCATCCCAGCCAGAGCAAGGAGCTGCAGCCCAGGCAGAGGGGATTGACTGAGCTCAGGAATCACTCCAAGTCTTGGGGACCAGAGTGCAACGTCTGCAGGTGGCAGAGATGCCCTGAGTCTGAAACTCAAAGCAGAGCTGGGAATGCAGGGGTTTCTCCCAGCTGGAAGGGACTGAAGCCCTTTGTGGGCAGCAAATGCAGCACGTGTGACCTTGGGCACTGCCCTGGTGTCCCTGGCTGCCGGCGGCAGGGACGCGGAGTGCTCGGCCCACAGCGCAGCTCCTGCCAAGGGCGCTGCTCCAGGGCCCGAGCCATGACGTTCCCGTGCCTCAGCCCAGTTGTTTTGGATTCTCCGGCCTCTCGGAGCCCGCCAAGGGTGGGGAGCGCCCCTGCCCCAGGAGCCTGGGGGAGGCGGGGGCTGCTCCGGGGCTGGCTGGGGGCCAGGGTGATGAGATGTGGGCTTTGGAGACCTCCATCTCTCCATGAGGACAACCCCTAAGGTCATCTTCGCATCCCTTCTCTCCCTCATCCTCTTTTCCCATCTTCCCTCATCACACTCTGTCTTGCTCACAAGGTGTTTAGAAAAGAAAGAGCTGGAAGCTAATCCAGGAAAGCCTCTCTCCTGTCCCCAGCCAGCTCCTGGCTCCCTTCCTGCTGCCAGAGCAGTGGAGATGCACAGGAGAGCTCAAAATCCACTTTTGGGTGAAAGGGAAACGTGGCCTAGAGTTTCTTATCGACGCAATCAAAGTTTAAACAGTCAGAGTGGAGGTTTTAGCTTGGATTTGGATAGCGGAAAAGGAAAACTGTCCCCTCACAGCTGTGTGTGCTTGACCTCAGCATCTCACACCGAGTGAGGAAATGAAAAACATTGAGTAAATTGCTTAACTGAGTCAAACCAAAGCTGGGAGAAGGTTGAAATGAGCTCAGGAGGTGCAACACCCTCCTGCAAACACCACCAGTGTCTTTCCAGAGACCTGGAAAACTTAGCACACAACGCAAGGTCTGGCACAGGGCCTGGCAACACCAAGCCCAGTCAGCACCAGCAGCCGTGGTCCAGGATGGATCCACAGCTCCACATCAGTGCTGCCAAGGGGAACAAGAGTAGCCAAAGGTGTGGTGGGAGCTGATGGATGGTTTTATTACATAAGGTGTGACATCCTCCCTCCATCCCCACTGGAACAGGGATGAAGGAGGGTTTAACACCATCCTTTTAACCACTCCATGGCTGTTTCTCCTGCTGCTTTCCCCCCACACCTCTCCCCCCACATTTTTCCATCCATGCCCAGTGTTTCTGTGCGGAGTCTCAGTGCATTGCCTGGCGTGAAGACTGTCCACAGGGCTGGGGGCTGCTCCAGGGGTCAGGGAAGCCACCGGTGTCCTTGGGGAGCAAAGCCTGTGGCACTGGGGACATGCATCCCTTGTCAGGGATGGGCTTGGTCCTGGCCTCCACAGAGGGATGATGGATCCAGTCTCTGTCTCTATGCAGGGATGACGGATCCATGGAGAGTTGCTGGACCCTTGGGAAGATGATGGATCCATCCCTGACTCCACAGGGAGATGATGGGTCCGTCCGCTGCCTCCACGGGGTGGTGATGGATGCACAGGGAGATGACAGGTCCATCCCCTGTGTCCATGGGGTGACAAGGGACAGCTGCCCACGCTAGCAGCTCCCTCCCGTGCACAGGAAGATGCCCAGGGCCATGCCCAGCAGCCCGAGGCTTCCCAGGACCAGCCCCAGTACCAGCGGAGCGCGCGATCGGCCGCTGACTTTTCCTGCAAGAGGCGAGAGGGATGGAGGTGACAACTGGGCCACGCCACCGCATCCCTGTCCCCAGCCCCGGCCCCAGCACGGACCTGTCCTGGCACTCTGGGCCTGCAGGAGGCTGACACAGGTGGTGTTGAGGAAATACTGCAGGTCCTGGGTGGTTATGGAGTATTTCATCAGCTGCTCCTGGGCAAAGGAAGCCACCGGGAGCTGGCCGGGCCAGCGCCGCTCCCAGGTGGCGCTGGGGACGTGGAAGCTGAGGAACGCCGTCCTGTTGAGGGTCACCTCGTAGAAGCTCTGGGCTGTCCCGTTGGGGTAGAGGCGGCAGCCGAGGTGGCAGCACAGGTGATGGGTGACTGCGGGGACAGAGGGAGGGGACAGGGTCACCACGCTCCCACCCTGAGCACCCCGTGGCCCTCACCAGCAGCAAACTGGGCACTGAGTTTGCACAGCCTCAGCACCACCCAGCCCACCCACAGCTTTGTTTCCCCTCGGTGTGAGCACGGCAGTGACTTTTCCAGCGACTGGGATTATTTTCCCTCCCTTATCTCCAGAAAGCACAGCTCCGGCTTTACAGAGGGAGGCTCTGGGCACAGAGCTGCTCGTGGCTCTCGTGGAGGGAGCGAGACACCGGGACAGGGACACCGGGAGTGGGGGGCGGGTCATGCCAGAGACTCCGCGGTGACACCGGGCTCCCCAAGGGTACAGGAATGTGGGGCTGGGCAAAACCGGTTTGAGGGTAACCAAGGAAAGGAAAGGAAAGCACACCGGGGCAGGAGCAGCAGAGCTGACGGGGCTTGTGGGACGGAGCGAGCAGGAGCACGAAACCATCAGCAACAGCGTCCCACAGCTCCCGCAAGCTGCGGGATGCAGGCAGGGTGACAGGGATGCAGGTGGGATGCAGGCAGAGCACAGGGAGGGAGCAGACAGGCTTCCTACACCTCACCACCCCACAGGCTGCAGCCCCCAGCCCTTTTCCTGAGGAGCAGCAACAGGCTGAGCATCACCCCAGGGTGTGCTCCTGGTAAGAAATTCCCCGCTCCACAGAAAGGCTCCCGTTCCCCACAGAGAGGTTTTGCACATGGCCGTGTCCCCATCCCTTCACCCATCTGTCCCTGCAGAGCCACCCCCGTGCCCTGGCAGCACGGAAGAGGCTCCCATTCCCCGGGGCACCCACCCGGCCCCCGGGTACCACTCACAATTGATGGGTCTCTCCTTGTTGAACATCGTCACCAGCAGCCTGAAGTACCTCAGGTAGGCGATCACCTCGTCCTGCCGCCGGGCCCAGGCGTCCGGAGGCTCCAGCGGGAGCACCTGGGTGACATTATTCCCTTCCAGGAGATGGCTGAGCTGCCCATTCAGGCTGGCGTTCCCCCGGAAGATGGAATTGCCCATGTAGACGCGGGTCAGCTGGAGCATGGTGAAGGCGAGCGGAGCTGCGGGAGACGCGGGACATCAGCCGCCGCTGCGACCCGCCGTGAGCGCCGTGTGCCCCTCGCCAACCCCGGTGTCCCCAAGCGCCGCCGTGTCCCTGCCTTACCCGCCGGCTCCGCTGCGCAGCCCAGGGCCCCGCCGAGCAGCAGCAGCCGCAGCATCGTGGGGACGGGGACGCGGGGCTGGCCCGGGGCTGGCCCGGCTCGCAGCTCAGCCCGGGGACCCGGGGCTGACCCGGGGCTGGCCCGGCTCGCAGCTCAGCCCGGGGACGCGCTGCCGGTCCGGCTCGCAGCTCAGCCCGGGGACCCGGGGCTGACCCGGGGCCGGTCCGGCTCGCAGCTCAGCCCGGGGACCCGGGGCCGGTCCGGCTCGCAGCTCAGCCCGGGGACCCGGGGCCGGTCCGGCTCGCAGCTCAGCCCGGGGACCCGGGGCCGGTCCGGCTCGCAGCTCAGCCCGGGGACCCGGGGCTGACCCGGGGCCGGTCCGGCTCGCAGCTCAGCCCGGGGACCCGGGGCTGACCCGGGGCCGGTCCGGCTCGCAGCTCAGCCCGGGGACCCGGGGCTGGCCCGGCTCGCAGCTCAGCCCGGGGACCCGGGACTGACCCGGGGCTGGCCCGGCTCGCAGCTCAGCCCGGGGACGCGCTGCCGGCCCGGCTCGCAGCTCAGCGCTGCCGGCCCGCGGCTCGCCCACGGGATATTAAGCGGGCCGGGGAGGTGGGGCTGTGTGGGGAGGAGAGCGGGAGTCCGGCCAGGTCTCTCCCATTTCCTTAACCCCAGCCATCCGCACCCCTTCCCTGCCGGATATGCCGGGCCCCACGGCGCCTGAGGATGCAGGATGGGGCTCCAAGCTTCCCCCCTGGCACAGATGGAATTGGGCGAGCTGCCAGCAGCGGACTCAGTTTCCCCATCCCTTGGCTGGGCAGGGCCCTGTCCCACTCCCCTGGGGGATGCGGGAGACCCGGGGGACACGGTGATGGGGATCACTGCCAGGGAATGGGGAGTATTGGAGGGAGCAGCCGCCCAGCACCGCACTGCACCCATTCCCATTCCCACCTGGATCTCATTCCCTGTGGGGTGCAGGGTCCCACGGGGTTCCCCTCGCTCGAAGGGACACCTCAGCATCACAGCTGTAGGAACCCATCCCCTGTGGAGAGGACATCCAGCAACAGGACACCCCTCCCTGGAAAGGGATGACACTCAGGGTAGCTGAGCTGGGCAGTGGGGATGAGGAATCCATAGCAGGGCCAAACCTCCACAGGTTTGTTTTTTTTTTGATTACACCTAAAATAATTATAAATTTAAAAATGTAAAATGTAAAATTTCTACTAAAAGCTCCAGCTCATCTCATTGACAGAGCATGGCACAGCCTGGGGTGGCATGTAATGGCATCACACAGCCTGCTATGGCATGGAATGCTGGGTGGGAAGGGACCTGAAATCCCAACTCACTCCACCCACCCCCACAGGCAGGGATACCCAGGATTCTCCAAGCCCCGTCCAATCTGGCCTTGGACACTTCCAAGGATCTAGAGGCAGCCACAACTTCTCTGAGCAGCCTGTACCAGGACCTCATCTCCCTCAAGGGAAGAATTTCTTCCCAGTATCCCATCTATTCCTGTGCTCTGGCAGTTTGAAGCCATTCCCCTCTAACAGGGCCATTGGGAATATTCTCTCTCCGTGTTTCTTGTTGTCTCTTTCAGGTGCTGGAAGACCAAAATGAGGTCACCCCAAAGCTTCTCTTCTCCAGGTGAACCATCCCAGCTCTCCCAGCCTTTCCCCCAGCAGAGCTGCTCCATCCCTCTGCTCACCCTGGTGCCTCCTCTGGGCTCTCTCCAGCAGCTCCAGCTCCTCCCTGTGCTGGGACAGGGCTGGGGCAGCTCTGCAGGTGGGCTCTCACCTGAGCAGGGCAGAGGGGCAGAATCCCAATCCCTTTTCTGCTGCCCACGCTGGGATCAGCCCAGCACAGGGGCATTTCTGGGATGGGGCATGGCCAGCCCTCACCACCTGCACCCCCAAGTCCTTCTCCCAGGGCTGCTCCACCTGCTCATCCTCAGCCTGGATTGATCTCGGGGTTTGCCCTGACCCAGGGGCAGCACCAGCACTTGCTGGTGTTAAACCTCATGAGATTCCCATGGGCCACCTCTGGAGCTTGTCCAGGCCCTCTGGATGGCCCCATCCTTCAGGAGTGTCACTGCACCCTCAGCCTGGTGTCACCTGCAGACATGCTGAGGGTGCCCCAAACCCTCTGTGCCAGCGATGCAGATCTGAAATATCCCTGGTCCCACACAGACCCTGGGACACCACTGGTCGCTGATGGCCACTCTGAGCCACTGAGCCTCTGGATGTGAGCCTCCAGCCAATTCCTTATCCATTTGACAGTCCATCCATGGAATCCAGCTCTTCAGTGCAGAGAGAAGGGATTGTGTCCAGGCTGTATAGAAATTATAGGATAAATATCATCCATAACCTTTTCCTTGCCCACTGAGGGAGTCGCCCCATCAGAGAAGGCCACTGGGTTGGTCTGGCAGGACTTGCCATTGCCGCAGCCGTGCTGGCTGTCCCGAGTCACCTCCTGTCCTCCCTCCCCCTGCCTCAGCAGAGCTTCCAGATCTTGTCCACGATCCTTCGGACACAGAGGAACGGGGCGGGCCGCCAGGTCCTCGTCCCAGGCTCCTCCTTGCCACCCTTTTGGAAGATGGGACAAGGAGTCCGTTTTTTCCGGTCACCTGGGGCCTGACCGGACATCCAGGACCTTTCCATCAGCCAATTCCTTCAGGACTCAGGGGCGGACCTCCCGCAGGATGGCGCGGACCGGGGCGGCGGGACACGTGCCCACTGTCCGGCACGATACGGCGCCCCATGTCGCGATATGGCGCGACGTGTCCCGCCGCTTGTCGCTCCGCGGCGGCGGGCGGGGCGTGTCCCCGGTCCGCGCGTGTCCCGGGGCGTGTCCCGGGGCGTGTCCCGGGGCGTGTCCCGGGGCGTGTCCC